TCTTGACTGTATAAAACAAATGAGGCCATTCCACGCGATCAAAAGCCTTTTCGGCATCTAACGAAATGAGTGCTTCTTGTGAGTTGCTTGGTGAGGTATCATAGATTATATTGAATAGTCTCCTAAGATTAGAAAAAGAATGTCTATTTCGAATAAAACCTGTTTGGTCCGGATTAACAATAGTGGGTAAATGAGATTCAAGGCGTGTAGCCAGAACCTTGGATAACAGTTTAAAATCTACATTTAAAAGGCTTGTGGGGCGGTAAGATGAACAGTTAAGGGGGTCCTTTCCCTTCTTCAAAAGAACTGAGATTGTGGCCTGATTAAGTGTTTGGGGTAAAACTCCGGAATTAAATGATTCATTATACATGTCCAATAGCAAAGGGGCAATTTTATCTTTGAATGTTTTATAAAACTCCGACGGATAGCCATCGGGGCCCGGACATTTCCCACCCTGAAGAGACTGTATGGCAGAATTAAGTTCAGCGAGAGCAATTGGTTTGCCCAAATTAGTAGCGGTTTCCTGAGTGAGCGTGGGAATAGTTAAACCTGAGAAAAAAGTTTCAAAATCGTCATCTGTAGGAGTGCATTCAGATGTATATAGTGAGTTGTAAAATGTTTTAAAGGTCGCATTAATTTCCGAAGGATCAGCTGTTACACTCTGAGCTGCTTGGATTTTAGTTATTTGGCGAGAGGCAGATACCTGTCGGATTTGGTGTGCCAGCCATTTACCAGCCTTATCACCATGCTCAAAAAAACGAGCACCTGATTGAAGCATAAGTTCAGTAGTACGGTAAGTCATAATTGTGTCAAATTCTGATTGTAATGAAACACGATCCTTATACAAATTCGGAGAGGGTGAGAGTGAATATATATTGTCGAGTTGTAAGATTTGCTCTCTCAAACTACGTCGCTTTTCTTGTCTCACTTTATTCTCATGGTGTATATATGACATAATTTCTCCCCTCATATATGCTTTAAGAGCACCCCTGGGGTTCTATTGGTGCTTAGAAAAAAGTCAATTTGTCCCGAGACAAAGATAACAAAATTGTTGTCCGACAATAAGCGCACATTCAATCGCCACCGTGGACGTTCAGTTGACATCATGCTAAGTTTGACGTCCATTACTAGTGGTGCATGATCAGAGAGAACAATAGCATCATAACGACATGAAGTTATAGATGAAAGTAATCGATTATCAACCAGAAATAAATCAATTTAAATTTATCAATTTTATCAAGGATTAAAAAAACGCCATGAGTCAGTTACAGAGAATTCGTCCATAAAGGACCGGATCACTTTTGCCGAACGTGAAATAACAGCTGGTTTTGCCGAGGAGCGGTCTAAATTAGGATCGAGCCAACAGTTAAAGTCTCCACCCAATATCAGATAATGCGTAGACATATCCGGTATAGAGTGGAATAAACGCTTAAAGAAGGATTCGTCGTCGGTGTTTGGCGCGTAAATATTAACTAATGCAATACGACGGCCCAAAATTGTCCCAGTGACAATAAGGTACCTACCATTAACATCAGAAATAACCTGGTCCGAAACAAAGGGAACAGATTTATGTAAGAGAATAGCCGTGCCCCTGGCCTTACCAGAAAAAGAGGAATGAAATATCTGACCCACCCAGCTTCTCTTCAATTTCAGATGATCTACATTCCGAAGATGAGTTTCTTGCAAGAAAGTAACCCGAGCTCCAAGTTGCTGAAGATGATGAAGCACTTTATTGCGTTTAATGGGGTTATTAAGTCCCTTGCAATTAAAGCTTGTGAACCGGAGGTCCTGTCCTATTGAAGACAGCATAGCATCTTAGATTTAAACCGTAGGGTTGTATGAGGGCTAACTTGGACAATTGGTCGACAATATAAAACAAAAAGAGAGGTTGGTGTGCAAAAACAAAACAAAATTAAACAAAAACATGAAACATCAGAACTCTCGCAGAAGCATCCCCCCAAACGGGATGCGCGATGCCCACTCCACCCCAAAACACCCATAACCTAGCCTGCAAAGGGCCCTGGAGGAAGATTGACACCTTGGTATAAAAATAAAATAAAATACATAAAGTATATAACAAAAAATAAAAGAATACAAATAAGACCCATTAAAGTACAATCTAAAGAAATATTAGCAATAAAAAAAAAGAAAAAGAAAAGAAAAAACAAACAAAAATCAGACCAAAAAAAAATAAGAAAGGCAACAATCTACACATAAAATAATGCGGTGGCTAATGATCACACAAAAAATAATAATAATTAAAAAAAAACAATATAAAAATAAAGTAAAATTATTAAAAAAGTTATCAATCAATCAAGAAAAATCTAAAATTCCCTGTCAGGAAAACAATATCGCCTAATACAAATACAGATATTAGTAAGCATGAAATGGTGCTGGACATATCAAGTAAGTGGACCTGCCAAAGAGCAACATTATAATGCCAGTACAACAACGAGAACACTCAAATTATAGTATGTTGTCATAATGTCAGAGCAAAATGTTTACTTCAACCGGTAGGTTACCTAACTTCAAACAGACTCCGGGATAACCACAGTTTTTAAACGTTTCAGCACAAAGTCCATAGTGTCGGGTCTTCAAATTTGTGAGTTTGTCCGCTCGGAGGAGTAATATGCAGTCTCGCTGGATAAAAAAGTCCAAACTTCACACCAGGACACGAGTGAAGCTCCTTCTTGACTTTGGCAAAAGCAGCTCGCTTCTTGGCCACTGAAGTAGTGATATCCGGGAAGATTGAAACCCTCTTTCCTTTGTAAAATAAGGGTCCAGATGATCCAGCTTTTTGTAGGATTACGCAGCGTTGTTGAAATATATTCACTCTCACAACAAATGGGCGAGGAAGCTCCCCGTCCTTTGGTTTTGGGCGGAGGGTACGGTGGGCACGATCCAGCACTGGTTCCCCGTCCAAGCCGAGCAAGCCCTGGAGCAGTTTGGCCACAAACACAGTTGGACGGGAGTCCTCGGAGCCTTCCGGGACACCCACCACGCGAATATTATTCAATCTCGACCTTCCTTCCAAATCCTCACACTTCTGCGTCAGGGAACCAACACGCTCAGTCAGCGACGCTACCGTAGCATTTAGGCTAGTTAGCTGAGCATCGTGGTCAGTAGCAGTATCCTCGAGGTTCGCAATGGTTTGATCGTGCGATATAATCTTTCTTTGCAAGGGCTCACAGACAGCAGAGATTTCCTTTCTTATTGCACCAGATACAATCTGTTCAAACTGACTTACAATGTCCGTGCGCATAGTCTCCATCATTACCTCCATGTGTATTAGCAGCCGCTCGTTAGCATTATTAGCATCCTGCTCGGAAACGGCTCCAGGCTCAGGCGAGCCCTCAGGCTGCGTGAGGCCCACCTTAGCTTCATCGGTCTTTGCTCTGGTGTACATGATTGTCTGAAGGTTCACTGCTGATTCAAGAGTCGACTGACAGTAATTGTTATCAGCAACAAGTGGTGTCCAAAAAAAAGTTTAAATAAAAGGTGTCAAAATACATTTAGAATCACATTCTAGCGGAGCGTCTGTAGATACGTCTTACATGCTCCGCACTCCACCGCTCCTCCGGGACAGATTAAGTTTTTTTTCTAATTCTTTCAGAAAAGAACAGCGAAAAACGGCCGTGGTAAAGTGGTTGCCCTTTTATGCTGTTACGTACGGTAAACGTAAAACGGGAAGCCGCGGGGATTTTGCATGGATCTATTATAATAACTGGATAGGGTAATACTAGCTTGAAGCTGAAGAACTCATGTGCTCGGGGATTCTCGCGGTACTGCAAACTAAACCAGACTAAATTCACGCGGGCTACCCAGAAATTTTCCCCATAGAACTCAATGTAAATTAAAACAGCGTGACCTCAGCTGACTGAGAACCTGCAGCTTTCAGAAAGGTCGGGTTTTGTGGGGATTTTAGTGTCCCTTGTCATCCTGAACTTTTTTTCTTCTTAAATATTTCGGTTTTCTTTAAATCCACACTTTAGGGCCACAAACTCTGCCCGTCTAGCTCTCGCTATAACTCCCGCTCTGATCAGCTGCTCTGATTGGTTCAGGGAACTTCATTATGCAGCCATCTAATGCCGTTTATGTATGTTCTGTTTATTGATATTAAATGTTTGTACTAATAAGAGCGTGTATATAAGTGAACATGCTTTATAAGAACATTTTTCTCTGTAAAAGTTATGGAATAATATGTCTGATTATTCATTGTATTTATCTGTATTCGCAGACTGTGTGTTTGTGTGAAGCAACCTGTGCAGCAGTGGCGGCTGCAATTAAATTCCTGAGCTTCAACCTGGTCTCTCCCCATCTTTCCTTCCCTGCGTTCTGACCGACGCCCAATCTTGTTTCATGTCTGACCCCTCCTTGAATTAGCATTATACTGTCCACCTCCTCCCTAATAGATACACTGAAGTAATCTGTGAGGCAAGATCCTTTGAGAATCGGGAGATTTGGATGCATATGAAAAGTGGCGAAACCAGTGGACTTTGCCAGAAATGGCTTACTTTCACTTAAAGGACAACTTACCCTCAAATCCACTTTTTTTTGCTGATAAACTGTATAAATGAGTGTCCAATAGTGTTGTCTACATATCCTGGTCATATTTTTGTCACTTTGGTGCAAATTAGTTGAAAGTTAAACTTTCTGCCTAAAACCGTCTGTGAGGCGCCATCTGCTGGCGACCTGTATTACTACATTTGAATTTTGAATCTGGCGCCAACACTGGCGCGGCAGCAAGACCTGACGTCTGAAGCAAGACCTGACGTCAGCAGCCCCCCGCCCAGAGCAATGTAAACGGCCCAGTCTCGTTCACGCCCCCTTTAGTCCTCCAGGCTACGCCCATTTAGAGGAAGATTTCAACAGGAAATGTGAGTGACGTAAGCTCCGAGGTGAGAACCACTTTGTTTTACAATTTAAAAAAACGTCATGATGTATATGATGCAATATTTCTCGCAATCAATATTTTATTTTGAAGGAAGCAGTTGATATCACAGCCCGCAAATCACTACCCTTTCCCCCCTCCTCCTCCTTCTCCTCCCCCTCTCATTCATTTAGATGGGATGCTTGAGGCGCCCATATCGACTAAAGCCGCGTTCAGACCGGATCATGCGTCGCGTCGGTCTATGGTGACGCGCGTTGCAGCGTTAAAACGCACCGACCTCTCGGCACGCACTTAGGGACTGCTGAGTAGAGCCGCACGGACTTGGCGGGAAAGTGAAAGGGGAGGAGCAGGAGCGGAAAAGGGACACCCACAGGAGATAAACTTTGCTCAACTTTTCCTCGGGACGTTCGTGCAGCGACCAATCAGGGTTAGGGTTGAATCCCTCTCGGTTGATCCTCGCCATCTAAAGGGTATTTTCTCAGTCGAGAGTTGCACCCCTGTCTCGTAATAGCCTTCGAAATGTCCCCACAATATACGCGTTTACTGCACCCCCAAATGATGCAGGCAGTCGGCATGTTTTAGCGCAAAAAAGTGGTTTGGTATTTGTTTGCCTACAACTAGCGGCGGCTAGACCGGTAAAATGGCGAACTGTGGAATTGTGGGTAGTACGTGACGTTTGTGGAAAATTATCTATGCCAATAGCATGGATCTATTATAATAACTGGTCTGGATAACTGGTATTACTAGCTTGGAGATGAAGAACCCACGTGCTCGGGGGATTCTTGCGGGACTGCAGACTGAACAAGACGAAATTCACGCTGGCTACCCAGAAATGTTCCCCATAGAACTCAATGCAAACTATAAAACAGCGCGTCCTCAGCTGACAGAGGACCTACAGCTTTCATAAAGATCGGATTTTGTCGGTATTTTAGTGTCCCTTGTCATCCTGAAATTTTTTTCTTCATAAATCCTTCGATTTTCTTTAAATCCACACTCTAAAGCAACAAACTCTGCTCTGGCTCCGCTCTGATCAGCAGCTCTGATTGGTCAAAGCGCAGCCGAGCCCCTCTGTGCACATCATGGATGTATTATATTAACTGGATAGGGTATTACTAGCTTGTAGCTGAATAACTCATGTGCTCAGGGGATTCTCGCGGTACTGCAGACTGAACCAGACTAAATTCACGTGGGCTACCCAGAAATTTTCCCCATAGAACTCAATGCATATTAAAACAGCTCGACCTCAGCTGACAGAGAACCTTCAGCTTTAATAAAGATTGGATTTTGTGGGGATTTTAGTGTCCCTTGTCATCCTGAACTTTTTTTCTTCTTAAATCCTTCGGTTTTGTTTAAATCCACACTTTAATGCCACAAACTCTGCTCGTCTGGCTCTCGCTCTAACTCCCGCTCTGATGAACTGCTCTGATTGGTCAGAGCGCGGCCGAGCCCCTCTGTGCACGTGCGTGAGACCCGGTGTGAGACCCACACACGCGTGTTTGGCGCAACGCATTATGGGAGATCATCCACTGCGCAGAACCGGGAGGACCAGACGATGCCCAAATACAGGCGAGTTTCCCATAGTTCTTTGCGAGTTTCAGGCAACTTCCGCTAATCTTTCAGCCCCCATGCCGTCACAAAGCGCCACTGAGCACAACCATTCATTTGAATAGGGCGCCATCTTGGATCGCCGGGGCTTGGTGCACATACATTAGAGCGACACCAATGGGGGCGGGTCCCATGACGCGTGCTGAATTTTTTTTGACCAGTCTTGTTTAGTTGCTGTGAATTTTTAAAGACACTCGTTTAAATGAATGGGGCTCGTGCCGGCTGACGCATGCGCAGAGGCGTTTTTTCACATTTTCCAGCCCCCGCGGCCATTTTAATCCCTCCATGAAAGCCCAATTTTTGGTCCATTAGTTAAAACGGCGGAGATAGGTGTGACTACAAACATGTTCCATGTGGTTTGACTGGAGCCGCGTATTTGCGCGGATCCTTTGGACTCCGTGACACAGAGGAGCGCGACAGACCGGTATGTGTGTGTACACTGTGTACAATACATGTGTGTGTGTGTAAATATAAGCTCCAATGTAGTTCTGACCCGCGCCAGTGTGCAACTTTGGCGGTAACAGAGGAGAGAGATGATGCGTCTGGATGTTACGTATGGAGAGGGGGAAAGTGTGTGTGTGTGCGCGCGTGCAAGTGTGCGTGCATATCAGAATCAGAATCATTTTTATTGCCACGTAAGTAACAAACAAAAGTTACCACTTGAAAATTGTTTTGGCAAAGAGCGTGCCACTTTGCCATTTGCGGCGATATGTGGCGCGTGCGGCATGAGAGTCGTCCCGGAGTTTGGTAATATATATATATAATACATTGGCGCACACAGCTAGAGACGGACCCGTTCATCACACCGAGCAAATAGGGCTTAAAATAGCGTTATTAAGAGACATCCCCTCTCTTTTCCTTTTTTTAACCGACAGCTTTGACCGGTTAACGCTGTGACGGTCAACCACCGGGTAAACGGTCACCGATTTACATCCCTAGTGTATACGCATGTGGGTGTATATATAATAATACATTTGGTTTTTGGGAGGGTCTGTGGGGAGGTGGGGTGTAGGGCTGGGCATGTTGGATTGTAAAAACGTGACCGAGCAGCTTGCGGCCATGACTGGAAGTCAACTAATTGCAATTCTATGTAAAATCTAAACTATTTTGAATCTACATGCTCTTCATATGCTGTATATTTCCTTCATACTTCCATACTTTAACACTGTGGTTCTTAACCTGGCTTCAATCGAACCCGAGGTATATGGTCCAAAACCCTGTAACAGCCTATTGTGTTGGATATTGACCTACGCATGTAAGAACTGGGTTGAAGTTCTTTGTTATTTATCTTTTTAAGGACAATTAAACCAAATCTTTTTTAACTCAAAAACTGCATAAATGTTTCTTATAGTGCTTTCTACATGTCCTGCTAATTCTTATCTTAACATTTTAGTGCAAATTAGAGATAAATCTTACTTTTGAACCAAAAGCCATCTATGTGGCGCCCTCTCTACCTTTTCGGTAGGACCACATTTGAATTTGGTCCTGGCCTCTCCATTGGCTCTGGAGTGCTGTGTGATGTCAGTCTGTACTGTGTGATGTGCGTTGCTCTGCGCCTGTGGTATAAAACCATGCAAGTCTTCTTGTGAGATCTAGAGGTTTAAAAAGACATTACATCTGTTGGCCACCACTTCCGCTGAGATATTTCAGTAGTCTAGCTATACATTTATCTTAATGTGTAAGGGTGGAATAAGATTTTTCTGGTATGTAAACTAATGCTTTGAGCCAGCCATGACAACTGTCTGATTTTTTTTTTGATTGACAAGCAAGTTGTCACTAACAGCCAAGACCACGACCAACTCTAAGCCCCCCTTCTTGTCACCTGGTCCCCCAGGTAATGCCCCTTTTAGAAAAAGTTTTCAAATGTTCTTGTGGGCAGAGTAAGGCTGGGCACAGGTGCTTACAGTGCAAAACAAATAATCATTGTGGAAAATAGTAAAAGCTCCTTCACCTAAACTGTGCAATGATGAGCCTGAGCAAAGTTACAACTCCATCCAGTGGTGATAACAGAAAAGGCAGCATGAGGGGTTCGGTGAGTCTGGCTCAGGGGTTTGGGAGAGCCTGTGCTGCAGAGGTACGGATCATGGATCTATAATAACGGTTATCCATGGATTATGTGATATTGTGATACATACTGCGGCTTCTCAGGGACAATCTAGAGCAGGCATGTCAAAGTCAAATACATCAGAGGGCCAAAAAAACAAATTTGCTGCAAGCCGAGGGCCGGACTGGTTCAATGTTTATTAACTCATTGCCTGCCAGCCTATTTTAGAACAGGTACTCCCATATTGCCAGCAGTTTCTGATGATTTTTATAGATTTTTCAAGACCCGCAGAATATTGTGTACTATGACTATCTGAAATCTGAAACCAGATTCTGAAAGAATAGACTGTCTACTTTCATCAACAAAAAGAATTTTGTTTCTAGCTTGTAATCCCCAGTTGAGTAGAGGGAAGTTTTACTGAAATCACCAAAAAGCTGAGAAAAAAGAGGCACAACAAGTGCATCTAGCTGTTTTCAAACCATTCAGAGAGCGCTGCTGCCACCTGCTGGCTCGATTCAATATGCTCTCAAGCTTATCCCCAAACATATTAGATATAATAGACATCTGGGAACATGAAAATAGCGGAAAACGCAATTGACGTAATAGTGCGTCAATGGCAGGCAGCGGGCCTAGACTTTGACACATGTGATCTAGAGACAGCTGGAGTGGACGACAACCTGTCTGAGTGGGTCCTGGACTACCTCACAGACAGACCCCAGTTTATGAGAACCAGGGACTTTGCACACCTGCAGTGTGGAGGCCCACCAGGGAACAGTTCTTGCACCTTTCCTCTTCACCCTCTACACTGTAGACTTCAGACACAACACAGACTTTGATGACTCTGCCATCATCGGACTCATTACAGAGGACGACGACGTTGAGTACAGACAACTAATACAGGACTTTGTGGACGGTAGTATCCTCCTCAACGCGTAGAAGACCAAGGAGATGGTGGTGGGCATCAGCCATCTCGTACGGAACACACCAGAAATGCTGTTAAGTATGAATGAGGTAAAGGATAATGTACTATCACGCATGTCTGCTTCCTTCAGGAAGGAAGCGGACCCCGACGCGTACTTTGCCCTGTCAGTACTTATTTTCCGATAAGGAACTGCGTAGTATACATTATCCCGCTTATTATACGGCTTTGTACCAACAGAACACACAAAATAAACTTCAGTCCACTTTTAGGAATGCCAAAAGGTTTATCTAATGACTGAAAATAAGATAGATAAGATAGTTCCCAAAGGCTTCCCTGTGGCTATGTGAGTAACAGTTAGGCTAGCAACTTCCAAACTAGAACTCTCTCGAACTGCATGAAAACTAAACAAAGAATTCTGAACATCAGCAGTGAGTGACCCAAACATAAACTTAACCTAAATCCATAATCCGATCCTCTGAAAATGTGTCCTAAAATGTCCCGGAATCTACTTCCGGGTTTTTCACGACCGCTTTTTCTCGCATTAAAACAGTATTTTTTTGTATATGTATAATGTATTCTCCAATTAACATTTAAATGTGTTGATTGATTTATATTTGTGTTTATTGAACATGGCTAGCTCTGATAGTGATGAAGTGGCCGGACGATTAGCAGAGTAATCTACATATCTGAATTACAAGCAGAGAGTGCGTTGGAACCCAAGTTATCATTTTAGTTTCAAATGTTGTACAAAACATTTTACGTACAAATAGGTAAAAAATGTATAATTATATCATATATATATATATATATATATATATATATATATTATATATAAAAATCAGAAACAATCTGTGATTTGAACGCTGTCACGGAACTCTAAAACAAGAGCACCTGGGGGTTTGTATCATAAATTCACTCATTATAAATTTGGCTGAGCATATGCTGGTTTTGCACAGCAAAACCATCAGTGTGACATATAACACATCCCCATCTTCATTCTTTCATCAGTTTCATGAAAAACATAATGCGAGTCAAGACTAGACTAAAAGCTATAGGACTTGCTACAGATTGAACAGCTGTAAGGTTTGTCCCTTGTGTGTTTTTCTGTTGTGAACGTCTAGAGAAGCTTTACGTGCGTAGGCTGTTTTACAGATTTTACAGCTGAAAGGTTTTTTTCCTGAGTGTGTTACCATGTGAGCGACCAGCCGACTGCGCATAGGATAGCGTTTCTTACAGACACGACAGCTGAAAGGTTTCCCCACAGGTCTCCAACGTTTCTTACAGGTTAAAAGCCCAGTTTTCTCGTCTGCATATTTGTGTTCATGTCTACTTAGATTCATTTGACTGGAAAATGATCCCTCACAGTTTGAACAACTGAATTTGATCTTTTCTCGGTGCGTCCTCATATGCATTTTTAGAGTGCTTTTACGAGAAAACCCTCTCTTACAAACTGAGCAGCTGAAGGGCTTCTCTTCCATGTGGGTGACTTTGTGTACGAATAGTGAAGAGGCTTGGGTAAAAGATCTTTTACAGATTGAACAGGAATATGGTTTTTCTCCTGTGTGTATTCTTATATGAGTCTGAAGAACATAGTTTTGGGTGAATCTTTTTCCACAGGTAGAACAGCTGAAGGGTCGTTCTCCAGCATGAACGCTAATAATGTGTCTTTTTAGTATGTATTTATTACTGAGGACCTTTTCACAAAAAGGACACCGGTGCCCCTTCCCCTCATGCCTCTGTGCTTCTTGGCCATTCTTTAACATGTCTGCAGTGTTCACAGAGGCACTGGTCTCTGCTGTAGTTGTATGTTCGGATGATAGATCTGAGTTTTGTCCAGTGGTCCTTGCGACAGAACAGCTGAGTGGAGCTCCCCAGTCTTCATCATTGTCAGTGTCAGAAGAGTTCCCCAGAGTCTCTTTGATGAAGTCTTCTGTGATGAAGTCTTCTGTCTGTGACTTGTCTCTGAGCTCAGTTTGTTGAAGTAGTGACGACTCTTCCTTCTGCATACAGTCAACACTGGACTCCTCTGTCTTTACACTCACAGACTCTGGAACAGGCCTAAAAATCCTATTCAATATAAAATTAAAGTAGTTTAGAGCTCAACACACACAGACCTTCATACGGAACAACTATGACATTTTTAAACAGCTTATGCATCAATTATATAGTAGTGATTGGACTGTGTTTTTTTAGACAGGAGCTTTCTGATTTTTTGCACAGGAATATTTGCTCAAAGATAAAGACCCACTGGTCTGAGATGTGATGTTTTGCATGTGGTGTAAACCAGCGGAGTGATACAGCAGGACTGAACCATAGCCTGTAATGACTGAACACAGGAATGTGCGGTTTACATGTGATAAATGTGTATAAATGAGTCGTACTCTGGCAGTTGCTCTTCCTCCTGTTTGATGCTCTGTTCTTTTGGCTCCTCTTTAATCCGTGGAGTCTCAGGGATTTTCTGGTACAGATCAAGATCTGGACTCCGGGAGAGCCTCTGGGCATCTGCAGGAGAGAATAGGAGCATTGTTTTAGACAATAATAATGCTAGAATGTCAGAAAACTTGTCATGTGTAGAGCTTTATCATTAGTTCAAAGCGTTTCATACTTAAAAATGACAAGGGACTGGCCTACGCATTTCGGCACATAGGGCCTTCTTCAGGGCCTGTACCGTGGGATTTTTTGTTTTCTGTTGAAATACATTATATTGTAAGAACTGCGCTTCTGTCTCGATCATGAAGCAGCCTCACCCGCTCTGAGCAGCATCACTCTCGGCCTCAGAGTCTCCAGCTGCTCCTGTCTCCTCTGCTTCTCTTTGCACAGCCGCAGTTCCTCCTCATATTCCGCTATCGTTCTTTCAAACAGCGCAAATATCTCCTCCGCAGCCGCACTGAGTCGTGCAGTCACCAAAACCCTCAGCGTTTGTCCCGCAGACATTTTAACAAACCAGTTTTTTACACAAACCCCTAGCGAACACCACGGCAGAAGTGTAGCTAACGGCTAAGCTAACAACAACAAAGACACACTAGCTGTTATGCGCATGCGTGGGTCTTAAGATGTTTCTTACCGCCACCTACTGGATCAGAAGCGTGCGACATTTTACTTTTGTCTGTCACTTAGTACAATATTATTGTCCTGCCCTTTGAGCTTTTTGTCATTAACTTTATCTCGGAAGTCTAGTATAGTCGCATTTTGAAATCTTTAAGCTTTAATTTTGGTGTCACACAGCACCTGTGGTATATGAAGTGCATGGATGTATTGTTCAAGTGAGAATTCTTTGTGTATTCATTATTAAAAAATCATATTGTTGAATTAACTTTTAAACAATATGATTGGATTTACGTGATGTTCCTGTGACAAGTGTCATCAGCTGGTACAGTTTTTGGCCTCCTGTGATCGGAGGAACACACCAGAAAAGCTGTAAATTATGAATGAGATGTTTATAAACACAAAATGAGAAATGAATAACAAAAGCAAACACTAGTACACATTTTCACATAAGGAACCCAAGTTATCAATTAAGTTTCAAATGTTGAAAAAAAAAAAACATTTTACCTACAATTGGGTAAAAAAAAAATATATATATATATAAATCAGTAACAATATCACTCTGAACCTGTGCTTTGAACGCTGTCACTGAACTCTGACCAGAGGCACGGAAACATTCACTGCTGTGATATGAGAAGTACAGGAGCATATATGTTGTTGAAGTGTGCTTAGCTTACACATCCTAAATATTTCTACAGAGCTTTTGTATCATAAATTCACTCATTATAATTTTGACTGAGCATATGCTTGTTTTGCACAACAAAACCATGTGTGACATGTAACACATCCCTATATTCATTCTTTCATATAATACAATTTGAAAAATTGTAAAATGCTTTGCGTGACCTGGGTCTGTGAAATGCGATATAGTAAAGGTGACAGGAATCAGTGACGTGAACTCAAGGACCATCGAGACAGCCAACTTTTAGAGTTGAAAGTCTGACTTAAGCAGCATTTAATCCCATTTTTCCAAGAAGGAAGTTGGATTTTCTGAGATTGCATGACGGCAGCTTTTGTCCCCATAGAGTAAGGCATAAATAATCCCACAATTACATTTTATTAATATTTCACCTCACATTTCAAAGAATCCACAAAGTGCTACAATTTGAAAAAGTTCAACCCATCGTGATCTCCACTCGGGCGACAGTGCAGTGGCTGGGAACAGCACTAGAGCAGTTTTTGAAGTCTTAAGAATCACTGAAGTAGAAAAATGTAGAGAAACTAATTTAATGACATTTTGACCAATCACTCAGTCTAGCTCTGAAACAGCTGACTGGTTTTTCATGTGGGTTTTCATTTGCTCAGTATGAAAAACATGCGAGTCTAGACTAGACTAAAAGCTACAGGACTTGTTACAGATTGAACAGCTGTAAGGTTTGTCCCGTGTGTGTACTTCTGTTGTGAACGTCTAGAGCAGCTTTACGTGCGTAGGCTCTCTTACAGATTTTACAGCTGAAAGGGTTTTTCCTGAGTGTGTTACCATGTGAGCGACCAGCCTAAGGAAAGCTTTTGTTACAGATACAACAGCTGAAAGGTTTCTCTACAGTTTTTGCTTTAGAACGTTTCTTACAGGTTAAAAGCCCAGTTTTCTCGTCTGCATGTGTGTTTTCATGTCGCTCTAGATTCATTTGACTGGAAAATGTTCTCTCACAGTTTGAACAATTGAATGTTATCTTTTCTCGGTGCGTCCTCATATGCACTCTCAGAGCGCTTTCAAGAGAAAACCCTCTCTTACAAACTGAGCAGCTGAAGGGCTTCTCCATGTGGGTGACTTTGTGTTTGAACAGTGCAGAGGCTTGGGTAAAGGATTTGTTACAGATTGAACAGGTATATGCTATTTTACTTGTGTGTATTCTTATATGAGTCTGAAGAACATAGTTTTGGGTGAATCTTTTTCCACAGGTAGAACAGCTGAAGGGTCGCTCTCTAGCATGAACGCTAATATGTCTTTTTAGTTTGCATCTATCCCAGAGGACCTTTTCACAAAAAGGACACTGGTGCCCCTTCCCCTCATGCCTCTGTGCTTCTTGGCCATTCCTTGACACGTCTGCAGTGTTCAAAGAGGCACTGGTCTCTGCTGTAGTTGTATGTTCGGATGATAGATCTGAGTTTTGTCCAGTGGTCCTTCCGACAGAACAGCTGAGTGGAGCTCCCCAGTCTTCATCATTGTCAGTGTCAGAAGAGTTCCCCAGAGTCTCTTTGATGAAGTCTTCTGTGATGAAGTCTTCTGTCTGTGACTCGTCTCTGAGCTCAGTTTGTTTAAGCAGTGACGACTCTTCTTTCTGCATACAGTCACCGTTGGACTCCTCTGTCTTCACACTCACAGACTCTGGAACAGGCCTAAGAATCATATTCATTAAAAGTAAATTAGTTTAGAGCTCAGCACACACAGACCTCCATACGGAACTACTATGACGTTTTTAAACAGCTCTTGCATCAATTATATAGTAGTGATTGGACTGTGTTTATTAGACAAGAGCTTTCTGATTTTTTGGACAGGAATATTTGTTCAAAGGTAAATTTCTGCTCGTCTGTGATGTGACATTTTGCATGTGGTGTAAACCAGCAGAGTGATACAGCAGGATTGAACCACAGACTGTAATGACTGAACACAGGTCTATTTTTAACGTGATAAATGTGTATAAATGACTCGTACACTGGCAGCTGTTTGATGCTCTGTTCCTCTGGCTCCTCTTTAACCTGTGTAGTCTTTGAGACTTCTTGGTTCAGACCGGGGCCTGGATTCTGGGAGGGCATCTGGACATCTGCAGGAGAATAAAAGTGCAAAATGAGATCACCATACTCCTGGTACCTCTTTTGTGCAGTCAGCTACCGGGCCCCCTCGAAAAAGAGATTATTCATCTCAAGGGGCCATCCACAATAAATAAATAAATAAGCTGAACATGGACAGCTCCAAGTACTGGATTTTCAATCCACAAAAGCATGTATTTGAAATATTCTGAAAAGTTGAGCTGTTCAGAAGCTGTTGTTCTGAACTTTATTCATGTTCAAAATGTAGTTTAAAATTCATACCGTTTCATCTTCTCACTTGACTACAACAAAGAGACTCTTACTGCAGCAAACATGGGTATATTGTTGTTAATCTATTTTTAAGGAATTAAGGATTGTTTACATCTCAAAACAAATGTGCAGAAACAAAGGAACTGCACTTTATGCAGATCACAGGTTTTTATTCAAAATTTCAACAGTTGTCAGTTTCAGTCGGCTTCTTGTTTGACATCAGCTTTAGAAAAAAAAACATTGTTTGGTTGAATAAGATCAAAATGATCCCAAACCAAAACCAAATCTCCGTTTGCCACTTCAAAGTCACCAACACTACACAACACTCTGTCTCTTTACTTGCCAACATTGTTAAGACATATTGACGCATAATTTATGCTGTAGCTAGTCAGCGCCTCTCCACTGAATGCAGTCACACAGGAGGCGTGTCTTAACGCTCTGAACCAATGTCGGGTAAACCCATTGAGCCAATGAAACATTTTGAAACCAACGAAGCAGTGGCTGCAGAGACACTAACACGTTTGTCACGTGACCAGTTGTTTTGATACACGCTATAATGCAGTGTTTCAAAGCATCTGCTTCCGTAAGAGTGACACACGTTCCAGAGCGTAGTGATTGTTTTCCCATCACTAGAGAATATAGGTGTGACGGGACCTAAGTGGGTTCGGTCGAACCATAGACTGTAGATATAAACGGACGTAGTCACGCCTATCTCCACCGTTCAAACAAATGGGCCAAAAATAGTGCTCTACTGGAGCTATCCAAAATGGTCCCGCCCACAAGAAAATTATGAAAAAACGCATCTGCGCATGCGTCAGCACAAGCCCCATTCATTTAAACGAGTGACTTCTAAAATTCACAGCGACTAAACTAGACTGGTCCATAAAAATTCACTCCCCTCAGCATTGACACACACGTGGAACGGAGCTTTGGGCCAAGAGCCAACTTTTGGACCATCCTGTGAAGACGTTTTCGAGAGGTAAGAAGATGCTATATGTTAGCATTGGCTAATTTCTATTCCGGGTTACTTTTGTTACTCACAGGTTCCAAAAAATTAAGAAAATAGTGTATAATAAATAATCCATCCATTTTCTACCCCTTAATCCATTTCTGGGTCGGGGGGGGGGGGTGGCAGTCAGAGATGCCACCCAAGTCTCGTAGCAGCCCCTCACTGATCCTCTGCAGGTGGTGAGTCCACAGGAGGATGGCTGCTCTGTCAATGTGAGCATAGCCTTGATCTCTCAGTGGGGGCTTTGGGCAAAGTGGGGTTAAGTGTCTTGCCCAAGGACACAACGACAGCAGTCATCAGTGGGAGTCAGTGGAGAAGGTATCATGGTGGGAATTGAACCCACGACCTTCAGGCCTAAAGGCCAATGCTCTACCAACTGAGCTACTGTCGCCCTAATAATAAATAATAAAAGATGAAAATATACATAGTATAAGTCTTGAGTATAAAAACACAAGTCTACAATCAAGTGTGAACCTTAATAAATTATTAACTACTTCCCCTGTGAATCCTTTTGTGTAAAACATTGCACTTTATTCAACGCTGTATGAACAAACGGGCAAGCCCCACTTTTTGGTCTTTTATTTGAAGAGAAAAAAATTCAAAACTTTGTGACACCATAAAAAACAGAATTTACAAATAAAGTCAACGACTGAATTAGAGCGGTTCTGAGCTTCACAAGGTATATGCCTCCATTTACTTAGCTGAAGTTGGCTGGATGACACTGGTAACTTGTGATCTCAGAGAATACTTTGTAGCAGAGGGCTGGAGTTTGGACTGTAAGTAATCTTTAGTAAGTAAGTAAATCTTTCTCCACTCTCTGCTGTGAACCGTCTCTTGTCTTTGTGCATGAGACTGACTCTTACGTACCTTTACACAAAGAGGGCACTTACATGTGTCTCGTGCCATGTCTCCAGTGTTTCTGATTTGGTAGTTGTGGTCTTCGTACGCCTCTGTCTCCATCTGTTCAGATAAACAGCCGAGTGGAGGTCTCTGGTCCTCACCGCTGTCAGTGACAGAACAGTTCCCCTGAGTCTCCTCGCTGCTGCCTCTGCTGGCTGTGATGTGGTAGGCATGGTCTCCTACAAACACCTCTGTCTCTGCCGCTCCGATGTGGAGCGCTATGTGTCTTTCCAGTTTAGAATCACTTGTAAGTACCTTATCACAAAAGGGGCACCTGTATGCGTAACTTGACCTGTCTCCAGTGTTTCTGATTGGGGCGTGGTAGGTGTGGTCTCCATCTGCTTCCGTCTCCACCGATGCACATGAACAGTTGACTGAAGCTTTCCGGTCTTCATGGTCTTTAGTGTCATAAAACTTCCACTCAGTCTGTGTGCTGCTGTCTTCTCCCCATGTTCCCACTCTGAGCGCAGTTTGTTGAAGCGGTGATGACTCTTCTGTCTTCACACAATCAATACTGAACTCTCGGTCAAGCCTGGGAATCATATTCAACTTCATCAAAAGTAGTTTAGAAACATGTTTACAGTAGCATTTGTTATGTCACAGGTGTTGGATGCGTAGAAATGCTTGAGTCGTACTCTGGCAGCTGCTCTTCTTCCTGTTTGATGCGCTGTTCCTCTGGCTCCTCTTTAATCCGTGGTGTCTCTGGGATTTCCTGACTCTGCGGGAGAATCTGAGGGGCTGCAAGAGAAAAGTAAAGTGGCAACATAAAAAACAGCTGAATCCACTAATTCCATTCCAAGTAGCTCACACACCATCCAAATTGCATACGTCTCAGAGAAAAGAACAACTTAAAGAATAAACTCCTTTTATTTCTATTGACCTGTATTTAACCAGATGTTCATGGGAGAAAGAGAGGGCGGGTTTTTATTAGTAGTGGTAAGCAGAGCGCCCGGAGGAAACCTACAACGCCAACACGGAGAGAACATGCAAACTCCACACAGAAAGCCCCCTTTTTATAATCAAACCTATAATCTGACAGAAACACTAGGCACCACTGTGTTACTGGGACAGGTATATGAAACAAACCAACTTGGCCATCAGCTGAAAGTAAACCGCTTTATTAAACTTCTACGCACCCTGGGGACACGCTACTCCGCTTTGCCCGGGCAGATAGAGCCCCTCGGCCGCCCTATACAGCATCACTGTCGGCCTCAGAGTCTCCAGCTGCTCCTGTCTCCTCTGCCTCTCTTTGCACAGCCGCAGTTCCTCCTCATATTCCGCTATTGTTCTGTCAAACAACGCAAATATCTCCTCCGCAGCCGCCGACAGCCGCGCAGTCACCAAAATTCTAAATGTGTGTCTTGCAGACATTTTAACAAACTGTTTTTAGCTCCGAGCTAACACCGCGGCTAACGACTAAGCTAACAACAACAAAATCACATTCGCTGTTCTGCGCATGTGCGAGTAAAAGTGAGCTATATGTTCTCTGTCGCCATCTGCAGTGTTGGACAGGACATGTGCACCTATGAGGGCAAACCATGGATCTATTATAATGTCGGGGCAAACCATGGGGAAAACACCCAGCTCCATCTAACTACAAGGAGTTGACTGGAAAAATACTAAAACTGGGGAACGTAATTGAAATACAGAAAAAACTGGTTGTTGAAATCTCTTGATCTTCTCTGATACTCAGCTAACTCAGAACCAGTCCAAGATCAGGACCACGACCTTGGAGAAATGGGGCTCCATAGAATGTTGATTTACTCTTGGTCAAAACAAGAACTTTTCTCCATTCAATGATTATTTTCCCACATTGAATATTGCACCACAAGAGTCTTTCACCACTGTTACTAATTTAAAATTAATTCTGAAAACCTAATTCATTTCATGTATGTAATATTTGAAACTAAAGTACAATCTTTCCCATTTGGAAAATTGTATGAACACTATAAAAGTGTCATGTGTGCTTTACATTGATGTCAAAGTCAAGGCCAGATCCGGGCCCCAAATGACATATATTGTCCCCGGGATGATACTTGATTAGTATTAGAACCAGCCTGCACTGAGTCTTAAGGAATTATTGGATTATTAATTTAATGTTCAGGACATGTATTTTCTCTTTGAAGGAAGTTTGTATTAGTCTTTGAGCCTTTTGAAACAAAAATTCACTTGAAATTACTGTCAGAGCCATACAAAAATATTGGATTATTAATTTAATCATTAAAATGTGTCTCTATCCATGCCAAATGTGACATGTAAATTTCTCCTCTGTGAGATAAATAAAGCACATCTTATCTTATCTTAAATAGGGCACACTGTGTCAGGTCTTGGTTCAATAGGTTATATGCAATAATTTTAATATGTTTTAATAAACATTGAACCCGTACGGCCCCCCGGCTTGTAGCAAATTTGTTTTTTTGGCCCTTTGATGAATTAGACTTTGACATCCCTGCTCTGCATGGACTAGCCCCACCCATGTCTGCCTTTCAAACCTGAGGCTTCAACCAGGGGCTCCTCCAGAGGAGACTGGGAGGCCCCCCTCAGAAGAACAACCTCTGGACAGAGCATGCTTTCTTTTCTGTCAGGGCCAATATCTTCTTGAACAATCAACTCATGCCCATAAGGGAGAGCAGGGACAGAACAAACAAACATTGCCACCCACAGGTAATCTGCAACCCCTGTCACTGATTAGGCTTTTGGAGAACAGTGAAGACACAAGTTTTTTGTTTTTTGTTTTAAAGAGGGGAGAAAAACCCCCAAAAGACTTCAATACAAATAATACATTCTGATCAGCATTAAAACTCAACTCAAACTGACTAAAAACAAACCAGTCATGAAACCACTAGACTTAATATTTCCTTATGCCGCCTGTCTTGTATGTTGTAATTTATGTATTTGCCTGCTGAGGGACTGCAGATGAAAACTAGCTTTGCAGCTAATCTGGCATATTTACATTTGTTTTATTGCGATGTTCACAAATGACAGCTGTGGGAGAAGGTAGAACTATTACTGAAATAAAAGATAATTTCATGAAAATGTCAGATGTTTATTTTCTCACGAGCTGGATGACACTGTTTAATTGTGTTTCTGATCTCAATGGCTGCTAGAGGTGAATAATACTAACAATGGATTGATTTTATGTAGCACCTTTTGGACTCTCATAGATGCTGCACATGTCAGTATTCATTCACTCCTTACACAGTAATAAACTATTACTAGCCATATTTGCCCTGAGGCAAACTCGCAGAATCGAGGAAACCAGTATGTGCCATCGGCCCCTCCGACCACCACCAACCATTCATACACACGCACACGCACACGCACACGCACACCAGACTCATTCTGGGTGAAGTGTCTTGCTTAAAGATACATCAACAGTTTGGCCACAGCCACTATGGTCTTCTTACTTTGGCCAGTGGAGGGCGCTCACAGCTCCTCCAGCAGCAGCGGTGGTATCTGTCGTAGTAATCCGCCTCCTGCCGCTCCCCCTGCCGCGTCTGTCACACCGCGAGAGGAGGCGACAGACAGACCCTCGTCTCTCCACAAACACAAGCTTCACAAGACCCGCGGGCGATGACATTATCCACGCACTAAACTGGACACAACGACGCCAAGTGGGAATAAAAATGACAGTGGATTTTGAAGAATGTATCAAGGATTCGCCGCGATTCAGGTAAAAAAAAAAAAAAACACATGCACACACATAAATACACGTCTGCCGCTTGCGTCAAGGTGTGATCGCTGATTTAATGGTGAAGTGGATGATTTTACGTATTTCTTCTGCTTGTAGTATCAACAGAGTGGAAACATATCTGCAAACATGTGTCGCTTCATCCGTGAATGCCTCATATGTTCAACAAGAGGGCGTACGCCGCGTCTGCCGCCTCCTCGCCCATTCATCACCGCGTTTTGCACAAATCACCCCAATTTCCTGACGCATTTTTTTATTGCTATACCATAAAACGCGTGGCTCATTTGGCTTTGATTTATGACAGCTTATAAACCCAATAGCATATTGGTTTTTACCACATGCCCCCCCCCCCCCCCCCCCCCCCCCCCATCAATTAACATGCGTGACTGCTATTATATTCATGCTTTGGATTTTACATTTGTCTTTATCCCCTGTATGAAAGCATGTTGTAATTGAGCTCATGGTAATTGGTCGGCATTTTAGCCCAAAAGACACGCAAAGGAGAATTGATTGAGAGTCCATTTTGTGGGAGCCAGTGCACATGGAGCAGACGACAAGGATATTATTGGCTTTATTTAAATATACATATTATTTCTATATGGCATTAGGTTTTGGGTGCAGTCGAGACCTCTCTTGTTGATATGCACGCTGGAGCTCATCGGATGCCCTTGTAAGACTACAGTGATGGTGGCCAGTAGTAATGTCCTTGCACATATACAAAGAGCCTGTTTTCATGGATACCACATGCATTCAAATCAAAGTCAGACTAACCTGATGTGTATAAATGTTGTGGTATATGCTTGGTGCCTATTGCTATACCAAGAAAGTGTGCAGACGAATTCTAATCAATTACATTTGAATCTTAATAATAAGATGGTTTTTAGCTCTGAACTAATTGAAATCTATTTAAACAGAACTAATTGATTACTTAGTTGTACTTCAGTCTGTCAGAATGTTGTTGTTTTGCTATGAAGGGGTCACAGTATGGCATTAAACATACGTTTTATTCATTTATTTATTGTTCAACTTGTTTGAAAAGTTAATTTGAATTGAATTTGAAAAGTGTGTGTAAAACCTTTGTATGTGCGACAGTGGCTCAGTTGGTAGAGTATTGGCCTTTGAGCCTGAAGGTCGTGGGTTCAAGCCCACCATAAGACCTACTTCACGACTTCCACTGATGACTGCTGTCGTTGTGTCCTTGGGCAAGACACCTAACCCCACTTTGTCCGAAGCTCCCACTGAAAGATCTCAGCTCCTGTGGACTCACCACCTGCAGGAGGATCAGTGAGGGGCTGGTGCTAAGTGTACTGGGTGCAGCTCTGACTGCCACCCCCCCGACCCAGAAATGGATTAAGGGGAAGAAAATGGATGGATGGATGGATGGATAAATTCATGACATAGAATATAGGCTCAAAGAAGCACCAAAGGAAAAGAACAGAGAGAGAACAGGGAGAAAGCAGCTATACACCAGTTAGACGAGAGTTAGTTAGACGAGAGTTAGACGAGAGAGACCAGAGAGAGACCAGGGAGGAAGCAGATATAGACCAGAGATAGACAAGAGATAGACCAGAGATAGACGAGAGATAGACCAGAGATAGACGAGAGATAGACGAGAGATAGACGAGAGATAGACGAGAGATAGACGAGAGATAGACGAGAGATAGACCAGAGATAGACGAGAGATAGACGAGAGATAGACGAGAGATAGACCAGAGATAGACCAGAGATAGACGAGAGATAGACCAGAGATAGACCAGAGTTAGACGAGAGAGAGACCAGAGATAGACCAGAGTTAGACCAGAGATAGACGAGAGATAGACGAGAGATAGACGAGAGATAGACGAGAGATAGACGAGAGATAGACGAGAGATAGACCAGAGTTAGACCAGAGTTAGACGAGAGAGAGACCAGAGATAGACCAGAGTTAGACCAGAGATAGACGAGAGATAGACGAGAGATAGACGAGAGATAGACGAGAGATAGACCAGAGTTAGACCAGAGATAGACGAGAGATAGACGAGAGAGAGACCAGAGATAGACCAGAGTTAAACCAGAGAGAGACCAGAGATAGACGAGAGATAGACGAGAGATAGACGAGAGATAGACGAGAGATAGACGAGAGATAGACGAGAGATAGACCAGAGATAGACGAGAGATAGACCAGAGTTAGACGAGAGATAGACGAGAGATAGACGAGAGATAGACGAGAGATAGACGAGAGATAGACGAGAGATAGACGAGAGATAGACCAGAGATAGACGAGAGATAGACCAGAGTTAGACGAGAGATAGACGAGAGATAGACGAGAGATAGACGAGAGATAGACCAGAGATAGACGAGAGATAGACCAGAGTTAGACCAGAGTTAGACGAGAGAGAGACCAGAGATAGACCAGAGTTAGACGAGAGAGAGACCAGAGATAGACCAGAGTTAGACCAGAGATAGACGAGAGATAGACGAGAGATAGACGAGAGATAGACGAGAGATAGACCAGAGATAGACGAGAGATAGACCAGAGTTAGACCAGAGTTAGACCAGAGTTAGACGAGAGAGAGACCAGAGATAGACCAGAGTTAGACGAGAGAGAGACCAGAGATAGACCAGAGTTAGACCAGAGATAGACGAGAGATAGACGAGAGATAGACGAGAGATAGACGAGAGATAGACGAGAGATAGACCAGAGATAGACGAGAGATAGACCAGAGTTAGACGAGAGATAGACGAGAGATAGACGAGAGATAGACCAGAGATAGACGAGAGATAGACGAGAGATAGACGAGAGATAGACGAGAGATAGACGAGAGATAGACGAGAGATAGACGAGAGATAGACGAGAGATAGACGAGAGATAGACCAGAGATAGACGAGAGATAGACCAGAGATAGACCAGAGTTAGACGAGAGAGAGACCAGAGATAGACCAGAGTTAGACCAGAGATAGACGAGAGATAGACGAGAGATAGACGAGAGATAGACGAGAGATAGACGAGAGATAGACGAGAGATAGACGAGAGATAGACGAGAGATAGACGAGAGATAGACCAGAGATAGACCAGAGTTAGACCAGAGATAGACGAGAGATAGACGAGAGATAGACGAGAGATAGACGAGAGATAGACCAGAGTTAGACCAGAGATAGACGAGAGATAGACGAGAGAGAGACCAGAGATAGACCAGAGTTAGACCAGAGAGAGACCAGAGATAGACGAGAGATAGACGAGAGATAGACGAGAGATAGACGAGAGATAGACGAGAGATAGACGAGAGATAGACCAGAGTTAGACGAGAGATAGACGAGAGATAGACGAGAGATAGACGAGAGATAGACGAGAGATAGACGAGAGATAGACGAGAGATAGACGAGAGATAGACGAGAGATAGACGAGAGATAGACGAGAGATAGACCAGAGATAGACCAGAGTTAGACCAGAGATAGACGAGAGATAGACGAGAGATAGACGAGAGATAGACGAGAGATAGACCAGAGTTAGACCAGAGATAGACGAGAGATAGACGAGAGAGAGACCAGAGATAGACCAGAGTTAGACCAGAGAGAGACCAGAGATAGACGAGAGATAGACGAGAGATAGACGAGAGATAGACGAGAGATAGACGAGAGATAGACGAGAGATAGACCAGAGTTAGACGAGAGATAGACGAGAGATAGACGAGAGATAGACGAGAGATAGACGAGAGATAGACGAGAGATAGACGAGAGATAGACGAGAGATAGACCAGAGATAGACCAGAGTTAGACGAGAGATAGACGAGAGATAGACGAGAGATAGACGAGAGATAGACGAGAGATAGACGAGAGATAGACGAGAGATAGACGAGAGATAGACGAGAGATAGACCAGAGTTAGACGAGAGAGAGACCAGAGATAGACCAGAGTTAGACCAGAGTTAGACGAGAGAGAGACCAGAGATAGACCAGAGTTAGACCAGAGATAGACGAGAGATAGACGAGAGATAGACGAGAGATAGACCAGAGTTAGACCAGAGTTAGACCAGAGTTAGACCAGAGTTAGACCAGAGTTAGACGAGAGAGAGACCAGAGTTAGACGAGAGAGAGACCAGAGTTAGACGAGAGAGAGACGAGAGATAGACGAGAGATAGACCAGAGATAGACCAGAGTTAGACCAGAGTTAGACCAGAGTTAGACCAGAGTTAGACCAGAGTTAGACCAGAGTTAGACCAGAGTTAGACGAGAGAGAGACCAGAGATAGACCAGAGTTAGACCAGAGTTAGACGAGAGAGAGACCAGAGATAGACCAGAGTTAGACCAGAGATAGACGAGAGTTAGACGAGAGATAGACGAGAGATAGACGAGAGATAGACGAGAGATAGACCAGAGTTAGACCAGAGATAGACGAGAGATAGACGAGAGAGAGACCAGAGATAGACCAGAGTTAGACCAGAGAGAGACCAGAGATAGACGAGAGATAGACGAGAGATAGACCAGAGATAGACCAGAGATAGACGAGAGAGAGACCAGAGATAGACGAGAGTTAGACCAGAGTTAGACGAGAGAGAGACCAGAGATAGACCAGAGTTAGACCAGAGATAGACGAGAGATAGACGAGAGATAGACGAGAGATAGACCAGAGATAGACCAGAGTTAGACCAGAGTTAGACGAGAGAGAGACCAGAGTTAGACCAGAGTTAGACGAGAGAGAGACCAGAGTTAGACGAGAGATAGACGAGAGATAGACGAGAGATAGACCAGAGATAGACCAGAGTTAGACCAGAGTTAGACGAGAGAGAGACCAGAGATAGACCAGAGTTAGACCAGAGTTAGACCAGAGATAGACGAGAGATAGACGAGAGAGAGACCAGAGATAGACCAGAGTTAGACCAGAGTTAGACGAGAGAGAGACCAGAGATAGAC